GCACCCCCCCCCCAACACACAAACCCCTCTCCCATAATGAGAACATCTCCCCCCTCCTCCCTCACGATTCAGCTGAACCTCAAAGCCACATTTGGCGTCAACCCGTCCTCTGTCCTCTTAAAACTTAAAGCAAATACGCAGGGGCAGCAGACGGAGCTGTGCTTTGTTTGAGTTTGTTTTTGTTATTTGCTGTTTAATTATGTGAGTGTCAGACCCTGAAGCCCCCCGGGAGGAGAAGGAGACAGGGGAACAAAAGACCTGCAGAGATATTATGAGTTATAGATGGATCAAGTATGGAGATTTTAAGAAAAAGTTTGACATACAACACCATTTCTGTCTATTCTGTCTAGTAAACATGAAGCTAGAGCTTAGCCTATTAAAAAAGCTTGACTCTGAGGAAAACAGCTATCCTGGCTCTTTCCAAAAGTAATAAACTCTTTATCAAGATTATACAACATGTGTTAAATTAGAGACTTTTAGAGGTGTATTTGGGAAGATTTCATTTTGACAGAGTTGAATCTAGCAAGTGATTCTACATCTGAATCATGTATTTTACAAATGTTTATATTCTGTGTTGAATACCTATCATATAGCATGTGTTAATAGGACAATAAAAACCAACAACCTAGATAGATAGATAGAATCGGAGGGATGAAACCCCTCTTTAATGGTCACACATGCAGAGCACACAGCACACACAGTGACATTTGGCCTCTGCTTTTAACCCATCCTAGTACCAGGAGTGTAGAATTAGGAGCAGTGGGCAGCTATTGTACAGTGCCCGGGGAGCAATGGGAGTGGGGGGCGGGGGGGTTGCTAACCCATGCTGTTAGCAAAATGTAACCATATTTTTATGTGAATGAATGTAAAGCAAGTGCGACCATATCCACCACAACAAATGGTGTCACTTTAAAAACACAAGTGTGCGTAGTATAAACAGTTTAAATTAATCTGTATCTTGAAGGAAAACCTTTTTGCTACACCTACATCCCTGTAATTTTGTGATGGACGGAAAAGACTCCTGTTCTTCGTCAGCAGCACAGGCCTGTTCAAATCACAAGTTATAGCTTGTTCTTAAAATAAAGTCCTTGACTTGCCCAAGAAATGTCGGAATGTGACTGCAGTCATACTGATCATGTCAAAGACACAAGGAGCCTCGGAGCAGAGGGATCTGAGCTGGACAGATGCCCCCTTTGCATAATGGAAAATATAAAGAATTTGTCCGGATGTGTGTCTTATTTAACCCTTTAAGAGTTTCGGTCTACTTTATAAACTAAAGTAATTAAACCACAGAGTGACATATTAAGGTTGTGAGAGTTTCCTGTTGATCTGAAATTAATTTGCTTTTCACTGAAAGCCCAAAACACCTTGCAGCTGTGTTGTTGCAAAACTGGTATCGCTTCTTCTACTACATAAAACTTTAGTCCAAAAACATGACAAAACCAACTGACCTAAGTTACATCGATATATCTTCAGTGCATTATTTTTGCAAAGGAATTTATTTTGAGGATTTGCTTATTTTCTCTATTTTAAATCTTTTTGAATCGAACATCTCTGCGCATTGTTGTTCTAGGTTCTGAAACAGGATTGATGATGACCTCAATGTATGGTAGTGTAATTGAAACATTGATTTTAATAAAAAAATGTAAATGAAAGTTTTATAAAGTTGTCAATAATTCTTATTGAAACTTACATTTAAAGGAAAGCAGTGACTTTCTCATTTAACTGTTGCTTGAAGGTAAAAATCATCCACAACACTTTATCAATTACATTCTCCAATAGAAGTCACTTCACAAAGTGGAAACCCAGACATTAGTTAAATGTATTATTTGACGGCTGATTAATGCATGAATCATCAATTTTGTAATTGTTAAAATGCAAAACACACCAAATCCAATACAAATCTGTTACAACCATCTTAATGCTTCAAATTGCAGATGTTTCCGCTCTGATAAACAAAGTGCCACCTCCTGTGTGTGTTTGCCTGAAGGGTGTGCTTGTTTGTTAGTGTGCCAGGTGATGTTTCCGCCTCTTTTGTTCCAGTTTGCGAGGTGTCGAAGCTGTGACTCTTCCCTGAAGCAGAGATGAAAACTCCCTTTGGTTCCGATGTCTGATCTCACCGTGGGAGACTTTCAATCAACTCGTCATCACTCATTCATAGACTCATCTGGGTCAGCCTCAATTCCCTCATCACTCATTCAGACATTGAGGACTGCAATATTAATAGCACTCAGAACAGTTGTGGTTTTAAATGGACTTCTCTGTGGCCGCAGCATCAGAACTTGTCATCCTGCAGAAAGTCAGTGTGAAAACCTCTTTTTCCAAAACACCACACCGTGCATGTTGCTTCAAAACACCTCTTAAATATAGAAGATATAAACTTTTCAAGCAACCAAAGACCAAAACATGTTTGCTCTCTTCTCCCCAGAGAGCAGATATTTCATTTAACAATAATCTCGTCTAAGATAACCTAAACAACATCACTGAATATCTGAGTCACGCCTCAGTATGTGTTATAGGGGTTCGACCTACAGTGTAACAGCCCTTGAAATGAATCATCCTGTTATTATTAGAAAGTGACTCAATAAGGTATTTTGTTTTTGAGTTGACACTGAAACCCAGGGACTCTGGATGAGGAGGCAGAACGTCCGTCTTCCTGTAAACATGTGGATAACAAGAAGTTTTCAGGACAAGGCTAGTTTCTGAGAAAGCCACCTATAAAGCCTCTGTTCCAGTACATTAGGAACACTGACAGAACCTTCATTAGGATTATTATTTTGTCTAAATGGTCTGCAAAGTTTAAAATCCCAAAGTCTCCTCCAGAGCGAGTTTCTCTAACACACACTCCCCCTGCCTGAAACACCTCCATTGGACTCCTTTGTTTACTTACGTATCATATTGACATCACTACGTAACACTTGCCCTTCTATAGCACTCAAACCAGTGGCGTAACTATCGACGGTGCAGCCGGTGCCGCGCACTGGGGCCCAGACCCAGCAAGGGGCCCATGCAAAAAAAAGAAGAAGTTTATATATATTTTGTAAACATTTTTTGAAATATTTTTTTATTGGGGTCCCAATGGCATTGACCGGTTCACGCAGTCTTCAAAGTAACCAAGCAACCTAAATTAATTTGCAATTTGTCTGTTCAATGACCTAGCTCCCTTTCATGTCATGTGATACCTTGCGTGACCAGCGAATCGTTTAATCAACCTGTACTGTACTGTAGCTAGCAGCAGCAAGTTTGGTAGCATTATAAAAAATGTAATAGCTTGCATTTATAATGTACAGCAAACCAAAGCACAAGAGCAACGCTCAAAAGAGAAAGGACAAGAAAGAACAAGGAGATGTAACAGCTAAATTGACAAAATGAGACAGTTTTTTTTGTCATACATCATCCTCGAAATCGAGCGCTAACGTAAGCAATGTTGACGTGCATCAGCAGCCGGAACCAGAGGCTAAAGACAGCTCACCTGCCTCACCACCATCATTGCCATCTAGCTCCACAAGTGAAGCTGTATCCGTGGCCGTGGCTGTGCAACCTTCTTTTCCAGCCAGCCAGGAGGAGAAGCTGGATTTGGCTGTTGCCGGCGGTGGTCCAACAGTTCCCCCAAGGGCCCCAACCGATAGGGGACTCTATGGCACTATTGAGACCCCCGACGCCAAGATCAAAAGCTATATTATAGCAACCGGTCTATGTAGGCCTACCGGCCCATTCCCCAGAGACAAACATCAAGGAAACAGGTTTAATCCTCTTCTTAGTTCGCTGTGCCATTGTCAGGCTGTGGTGGTCTGAGGCCAGGGCAGGCTGTTGTTGATAGCCTATACATGTGGCGCTTCTGAGTGGTTGTGTATGTCCGTGCGTGTGTGAGCGCATCAGCGTGCGCTTATGTTTGGGGCGATTGGGGGGGGGGGGCCCCAAAACAATATTTGCACCGGGGCCAATCACAACCTTGTTACGCCACTGGCTCAAACACATTGTAGGTAAGTGGCTGTATATCTCTAAGCGGTTGACCAATCACAACAGAGCCAGCTAACCAATCAGTGCAGACTGGGCTCTGGTTTCAGACAGAGGGTGAAAAGAGCCCATAGCACACAGTATGAACAAAAAAAGACCCTTTTGAACATTAAAGGTAGTATAATATAGTTATTTTAATCAAACTTTTCCTGCTCACCCTGCGTCCCCTTTCATGTGCCCTTATCCTACACTGTTGGATTCTAAAGGTCAAAAACTCCTATTCCACAGTGATGTGCAATGAACATATCTGAGTTTGCCATGTGTTAATAAGAAGCAGAAGATAACTCAGTCTTTCTGCAAATTCCTAAACATAGTCTTTACAAACCGCCTTCTCTAGGCAGCAAGAGAAAACAATCACAGTTCTTTCCGTGTCCTTGTCACCCTGTGTCTCTCCCTCTCATGTAGTTACATTTATAAAGCGTTCATCTGTAATGCAGAAATATGAATTAAGCTTTCAACCTCTTCTGGGATATCTGGCTAACATCCCCAGAAACATTAAATAGTTATAATATAATTTCTCTGTATGCACGAACATCAGGAAAAAATAGGTAATGGCAGCAGTGCATGCGTGTGTGATAAGAAAGAGAGAACGGATGTAGGGAAGTTAGACTAAATGGCTTGTTGCCTCAGTAAAGCCCAAGTCATGCATGACATAAATTCAGAATGTAGCTTCGTGTGTTTAATGGCCCAGAACGAGAGAGGGAGACGACAGAAGACAAATCAAAACGTGAAGAAAAGATACAGATATGTGTGCAGGGCTGAACATATCTGAACACACATCATTTGTGTTGTATGTGATGCCTTCTTTTCTTTCTTTACACATACGTGGCAATAACCACCATAACCCCGGGTGGAGAACAGCATCAAGTGCTTACAAATGTCAAGGACGGAGGAGTGAGATGTATTGTGTTGAGGAGGAGGAGGCAGGTGTGAGAGAAAGAAAGAGAAATGGAAATAGAGCTATTGATTCTTCTCCGTCTTACCCATATTGTCTCTGAGCCCACGTAGGATGGACTTGCTGAACTCCAACAGAGAGACCTGCAGACAAAGAAGAAAGAGAGGCAGCGGTGAGGATGGATATTTCAGCTACCGGCTGCATAAAGAGAGACGGGCAGACGAGGACAGATATCTCAGATGTTAGCATGCATCCGGAGGTATCTGTTATTCCCTCAGTATACACACATGCTCGATACGAAATAATAAAGCGCTCCATTGAACACAAACATCTGTGACCTCGCTGCCTCCAGAGTTCACCGGGAATCAGATGAAGCTGAGTAAGAAAGGGGAAATGTATCCTCCTCCTCTGACTTCTTGTCAACATTCCTCCAGCTATTATTCCTTTCTTACATCTCCTTTCACTGTACAGCCATGACTTCATCAGCACCCTTTCTTTTGTTCAAATGTATATATATCTAAATGCACATTTTATTTCTTCGCCAGCACAAAGAGGAGACAGTCACACGGTTATTTTCTTGTTCTTAAAAGTCCCATCCCCTCCTCCTCTTCTTATTCTCTTCCTCTCCTATTCGCTCACACAGAATAACAAAATACCAAGCGCTGCCATCTCCCATCAGCTGCAGGCTCGGGGGGTTGCGTCGCAGCCCAAGAATAAGGACACACAGTCAGTTATTGTTGGCGCCTGTGTTTGTCAATCATACCTACACTTGACGGTATTTCAGCCAGCGAGCTTTTAAACACAGCGGCGAGGGAGAGCCGCTGTCAGGGTCTGGTGTGCAGCGAGACATCGGAGGGGGAAGCACAAAGCGTGTGTGCTGGTGGTTAACACTAAGAAAGCCCTGCGGCATGAAAGCTGTGCATTTAATCAAGTAAACAATGAGAGGTATTGTGGGAATGAGCACAGACAGATGGCTGAAGAAAGCATACCAGTGGCTGTGCGTGTTTTATCCCACTGACCTCAAATCTGTAGACATATTCATCGGTTTAGAGATGTACTATCTTCCAGGCAGCTGTGTGCTTCTCTTCATTTCAGGGAACCATCATGCAGAGATTAGCAGAAACTCAACTGGACCTCCACCATAATATGGTAATCTTGCAAGCACAGAATATGTGGAAACATTTCCTTTAGATTTCCTGCACCTGTAGAATGCAGTTATATATATTTGACAGCCAATTCCTGCAGAAATCTATTTCATACACCCAATTCGTTTTGGATTATTCTACCCAGAATATGCAGTAGTAAGCTTTACCATTTGACAGTAGACATACAGTACTGTTGACCTTAAAACACAGATAATTTCATGTTTATTGTAGTGGATGATTTAAGTATCTGCAGAACAAAGGTTATATGGATGTTAGGACAACAATACAGCTCTTTTTTTAAAGTGAAACAACATACTTGTTGTGACATAATTTAAAAGATTTCTTTAGTAGTAACAAACGGGGTTTTGGGACTTAGTGCCACAGTCATGTTAGAGAAGCCAGAAAGTATCCAGAGAATAACTAACACATTGTTTGTTTGGGCCTTTTGTGTTATTTCTCTTATAAAAAGTAGAATATACCCGGCCTTATTCTTTTGATCATTTGTGGTTATTTGGTTGAACATGATCCAGACAAACCTTCTGATATAAGTGTAAACCCTGAGTGTGTGGCTGTGATCTAACACTTACTGGTCTGTGCGCTGCGAGGCTTTGCTCCCAGGTACGCCAGGTTCACATTGGCCTTCCTGCCGTCGATGATGGGGTTCGGGTCCTTACACACCCGCTCTGCTGCTCCCCTGTCCACCATGGTCACCTGTTAATGATGTCAGAGCATTAGGCATAAATAATCACTGTTTAAGCGTCATGTGAAAGCTTCTGTATCGAGTGTTGAAGGAGTGATTGATGAAGCATGATGAAGCTAGAGGGGGGAGGGTCTGCTGTCCTTGTCTCTCCTCAAATGATTCAATCGTTTTGCTAAATGTGTGAGGAGACACTGAATCCACCGCATGAAGACAGCCATCAGTGAGTTTTAATGCTTCCTATGGAGCTCATGTAGGAGGCAGATTTCTTTCTTTTTTTATACAGGGCTGCCAAGGATGAAATACTGGAATCTACCTCGAGGGAGTTATTTGAGGAGTGGGCAGATAGCAGTGGGAGGAGGTGAAGGTTGACACACACACACACACACACACACACACACACACACACACACACACACTTTATACTGAAAGTAAAACTGCCTGGCTTGCTTTCATTTCTCGGCATCAGACTCAGGCCAGGTTCAAGAAGCTTCTGCAGGGAATCACATGAAATGAGCATGCTGTCCTAAAACAACTCTGGTCCCCTTCAGCTGATTTGCTCACTGGCTATGCAGAAGCAGAGATCATTTGAACTGCTTCGTGTCAGTTCAATCACACACACAAGCTCACAGTCCCTCATAGAAAACAACCAAACACATCATGGCAGATGGGGGAGGGGCTGCATGGGAGGAAGTCAAAGTGAAACTGCTGCAGCCTTATCTTGCAAAGCCAACTGACATGTCACACCTCGGTGCTCTCTCTCTCTCTCTCTCTCTCTCTCTCTCTCTCTCTCTCTCTCTCTCTCTCTCCCTCTCTCTCTCTCTCTCACTCACTCACTCACTCAGAGAGACATCTGTCCACAGATGCAGCTCATTACCAACTCTCTCTCTCTCTCTCTCTCTTTTAACACAGAGTTCCCTCACACTTAGGTATACTGTGTCTCTGTGCTCATTTGTTGCTCACTCTGGGACTGCAGATATAATTGATGACACACTTGTTAGAAATAATCTGCTACGCATGCTTCAAGCATGTGACTGCCGCCACCAGACACACTGCACATGGCTGCTGCTGGAACAAAGTGGCAGTGTGCAGTCTCTAAGGCAATAATACAGAAAATACAATTAACCATATAGATAAATTCTCTTCAAGCTCATTACTGGCTGCTACAGGCACGATGTAGTGTGTTTCCAGCCTATCCAATTAAAGCCAGAGCAACTGATAAAGCCTTCATTAAAGCCAATCTCTCTCTGTTCATGTGTTAAACTACTCGTGTATTCTACCAGAACATGGGAAGTTAAATTAACTCACAAAGCCGTATCCTCTGGACTTGCCCGTCTGTTTGTCTGTGATAACCACAGCCTCGTCGATGTCCCCGAAAGTCTCGAAATATTTCCGAAGTGAAGCGTCGTTTGTGTGATACGGCAAGCCGCCGACAAAGATCTTGGTGTGAGTCGTGTCTTTCTCCATGGTGGGGTGCATTATTTCTAAAGGAACCCCGACCAGCTGACCTAGAAACAGCGGCGAACTCATGCGGCTTGTGGAGAAAATGAAAGAGGAATAACACGAATAGAGACAAGAAAGCAGCCGAATAACTTTACGCTGCTTGGTCACCGAGACGCTCTGATGACAGCAGAGTCCATGGTCAAACCTTATAGTCTATGGGTCAAACACTCAGCAGCATCCAGTTGCATCACACGCAGCTTCTGGATGTGTATCTCTGGATGTGTAGTCCTCCTGACAGGTGTCTCTGAACCTCATGTCTCCTGTCTCGGAGGGAAAAAGTCTTTAAGGCTCGGTGGGCGCGTCTTGTGTTCGCCCCCTGCGCGTCTGATCCAATGGACGAGCGGTGCGACTCTTCCATTGGCGCATCCCGCCTCCAACACACACACACACACGCACACGCACGCGCGCGCGCGCACACACACACACACAAAAGCAACTGAAACGAATACATCTTCACTATCATTTTTCTGCAGGTCTCCCTTCAAAAAGATATCTGTGGGACCAATCTGGTTAAATAAAGGTTTGAAATGAAATGAATTTAAAACGTTGCCCCAATTTCATAGGAGATTATCATAAGTAGTTTTCTGTTGATAAACTGACTGTAGATACTTTAGATTGGTAGACTGTGAAAAATAGGATTAGAAACACCCATAAGGAAGTTAATACTACAAGAAAGAGAAACTGACATCTGTAAATATTTTAGGACTCAATTTGTGCCAATCATTTTTTATTTATGAGGTGTTTCCGGTGTGGGGTTGATCCTGGGTCTGACAGAGAGCATATGGGTGACTCTATAAACTAGAGCACATTCTTTATCACACTTTTTCTATCCAATCCTAACTTTTAAAGACTTGTTTGGATTCAAAACAAATATACTATATATATACATATACAAATAAACTATTTAATGTAAAAAGAGAATTAGAACGCTGCATTGAGTAAAATGTCATAATTTGTATTTGGCAACCTTGGTAATACTTGTATTACAACTTTTACTTCTTAACAAACTGTAAACCTGCTGGTAGCGCTATAGTGAATAAGTCAGGATCATCAACTTCAGTCAGTTTCATCATGAAAATAATTAACGTGCAATTATATATTTAATTGCTCTTTTTACTGCACTATTAGTGTACAGTTTTATTATTATTATTATTATTATTATTATGTTGCTGTGTTTATTGTATTTTTCTTACTCTGGCACAACAATTTCCATCTTATCTTATGTCATCTTAATTGTTGCCGCTGGTGAGACAGAAAATAAAAGATCAAACAGTGATAAAGAAATTAAACACTGCATTATTTTTAGGCAGAACGCATAGAATCCCCACTGCATTAAAACAAAAGTGAAACAAAAAATGCCAAACACCATCTCCCCAGCTACAAAGGGTTGAAAGAGACAACCTGGCAGCTTAATTTAAACTGAGACTGTAATTGTATTACAAATGACAGTCAAATCTAAAAGTTATTTAAAGCTCTGCGCGGCTGACGGGGCTCTGTAGTCTAACAGCAGCAGCAGGGTTGGGACAGCCTGGAGGTGTGAGATCTTTCCTAGGGGCGCAAAACCATTAGGAGAAGGGGAAGAAAAGTGGGATGATTTATGACAAAAGCTTCCACAGGGGAGGAGACCGGTTGCAGGAAACAAAAGGCAGATTAAAGCGAGGCTGCAGTGCAGACGGCAGCACGAAGCCCGACGTCACTGACAGCAGGCAGAGGAAGCTCTCGTCTTCTTCAATTCACTTCTGAGGATTTGCCACACAGATGTCCTTCACACTTTATTCCCTCCTGTCTATACCTCCCACCCCCTCCCCCCCAGACACACACGAATAATTGTAATGATTGTCATGTACAAAATGTTTGAAAGCAGAAAAAACAACAGAGACATTTTAATGTTTAAATATAAATTTGTATTTACATCGATATTAACATCAAGAAACAAGGTAAGAAAAAGAAATGCAATAGTATTTTACATCCTGTAATAATGACTGTATGTTTCCCAGATGTGTTTTCTCTTATAGCTCCAACGATGCACTGACAGGAGATCGTTTCCTTTAAAGCAAAACACATACTTTTTTTTTGTTTACATTTGTAGATTTCATACTCTTCATTGAGACTGGGGTTAAACAAAGCTAAAACAACTCCAAGCTATTATTCAGAGACAAAATGACATCAATCATGAACCCTTCTTTCCAGCTTAGAAAATGTTGACATTCTCTTGTGAAAGAACCGTCTGCAGCACCACAATTCAACTGGCCATAAGTTCTACAGAAAGGAAGACACTTTTACAAACAAAAAACTCAAACCACCTCAGCAGACTCGTCTCTACTCTATGTCATACGGATGGGGATAAAATGCAATTAAACATATCTAGTTTAATGTATATTATAGGTTATGTGCGACAGTTAAAGCACACAGGAGTACTTGCACGTTCTACGTCGGGAACTGTTTCTACGCACAGCAGAATGACAAACAAAAATCTTTGGATTGAGCATGTGTTCAAAGGTAGATTTCTCAACATAAGCTTCACAGGAAATAAAATGAAAATGAAGGCAAAGAAAAAAAGTCAGTTATCAGGTAATAAGGGGTTTAAACTACTTCATGTGTTGCTTCCATCATGTTAAAACATTTGTGAACGGACCAAATGGACTTATGGACAGTTATACGGTGGGACTGATTTCTGAAGTCTCGCATCTGAGGCCGAACGATCATTTCTGCAAAATTCTGAGCACAGAAATCTCAGGAGTGAAAGTCACACATGGAAGCATGAGGTTCAGAACACATCAACGCCACATACTGGTAAGACATCCGGGCCTCGAGAAGCCTAACACAATCATGTGTCAACTCTTTTTGTATAGGCATTTTTTTTGAGAGAAGAAAAATAATTTATTTAAAAAAGAAATTACACACTAGCACCTCCTTTGCTAAGACAAATATCCTCAGAGTGCTTTCTGAGAGAAAGAAGGTAGCAGTAAGAAAGAAAATCCACACGTACTGCTTACAAAAAGGAGGCCCTTACTTTCCAAACAATGCTTAAAGTATTGAAAATAAAAGCTGACCTATGACGGATTAAGAAAATTACACTTTTAAATATCAAGCCTTACAATCTGTGCAAAAACAGTATGTGACCTACAAAAGCATATATATATTTATATATAGTACATTTGAAGCTTATTTACAATTCATATTCACAGACAAAACAAAAACAAAAAGCTCCAAACAAGACATCATGTCTAATACTGCAGTGCCATCGCTTTGAGTAAATGATATTTCATTTGTCCACAGAGGAAAACCAGGAGGAAGGATTATTGCTAGAAATCTAACACACACTTCTCTCTTACAGTGGGAGCTAATAAAGACATCATTTCATAATTGGCAATCAATTTCATTTCTGCATTTGTAATAACACTGTTAATTGGTGCGAGGTAACCAAAATATCAGCACATTTTGGATTTAAAACTACCTCTGGAAAGATAAAATGATCATGTTAATGAAACTTTATAAATATAAGTTAAGTTTTGGAACATTTAATTATAGAAGTCTGTTTGTCTCAAGTGAGTTTTTAAAATTACTTAAAAATGGTTTGTTGTAATAAATTGGTACCTCTGTAGATGAGAGCGTTGGATAAAATCTGTGCTTGCCGCCTTTCTACTGGTTCCCACTTTAGAACAAAGATCATCAAAGTTACCCATTTCCAAACAACAGCCCCCATTACCCGGAGAGGAACGGTTGGCACACACACACACACACACACACACACACACACACACACACACACACACACACACACACACACACACACACACACACACCAAAATAAACAACTGCTGCAATGCAATTCTTGGGTAAAGGCCTCTGTATTGCCACAATCCTTTTGATGTTAGCCTTTCCTTAAAGTGCAATCAGCCAATAAGTAATTCACTCGTACTTTAGCGGCGTCCTGGAGAAGGAAACAATGTGCTACTGCCTAATGACATTCATCTGAGTGTCCCAATCTGATGTCTCTTCATCTTGAACCACGTTTACTTTAGGGATCCTCCAGGAGCAGTGGAGGGATGGCGGGGGAAGAAAATCCCACAGAGTTCAGAAACAAGAGAGCAATCCCACATTTTGAATCTGAACACAGCTGCATGGTACATTCGACAGAGGAGAGGATGTCTTAACACTTTCGTCCAAGTCTGTGATCTGCTCGAGTGTCTGTCCACCTTCACGGTTTGGTCCAGGGAGCGGTTTGTGTTTACTGAGGCGCACACACCGATCATAAAGAGAGGAATATTAAACTACAGCCTAAAAGGGGGATGACAGAGCTGTCTGAGGATTAATGTAAATGTATCACAGTGTTTCTGATTTTCATGAACGCTGCATGTTTTAACATATGTGTGTGACAGTCTGTCTGCTTTCCCTCAGGTTGTTGCCAGACTGATTACTGGCCATGAGTCCAAAGGAAGTTCACCCCCCCGTCTGGTGGGAGTGCAGCACTGCACACAGACACACAACACCTGCTCCTCCACACACACTCCAGGGCTGCAGCCGTGTCCTGTCTCTGAGTGGAGATCACAGCGAGACTAATGCTCCTGTCACGATGCTCAGCAGTATTTCTAGATTGAGGGGAGAGAAGAAAGAAAGGAATAAAGAAAAGTGTGCAATATAACTGCAACTGATCTGAAGTGTAGCCTGTCATTAAAACAGCCGCCAGAATGAAAATCTTATTAAAGCAAATTTCATTCAAGCAAAAAGGATAAATCCTCCGTATTTATCGGAAGTTAAGCTGATAAAACTTCTTCATCCTGATTTTAATATAGATGAAAAATGAAAAAAGAAATTGGCATGAAAACAGGTCGATGGAAACAGACTGTGTTTCTTTGCTGAGCCAAAGCAGAGCTATAATAACAGAAACCGGAAATTGATAATAAAAGACTACATTTGGTTGATACCGACTAAATTGAACTAACTAAGACTCCCCATCTCTTACAATGAAACTGCTATAACAAGAAATGCACTCACTATGGAAAGGAGTAGATATCAAAGCAATAACCATTGAGTGTATACATAGGCTTGTCAGTATTGTGTTACGACCAATTTGAATAAATAAAACCAGTTTTTTCAGACTCTCCTCCACTCCGCACCCACCTGATCAGGCCCCATCGGCATGCGTCCCATCACCATGGGGTTCATTCCCATCTGCCCTCCCATCTGGCCCATGTGACCTCCTCCTCCGCTGGCTGGCATCCCCCCATTCATCATCATGCCCCCATACTGGCCCGGGTTCCCCTGCTGCCCAAACTGCTGCTGCCCTGGAGGTCCCTGCTGCCCAAACTGCTGCTGAGGGTACGAGCTGGAGAGGGAGAGTGACAGGAAGAACAAGTTGGCATTTAAGAAATAAGAACTGAAGACAAAGGTTCTCCCTTATCTGACAGCACAGAGTTGTAGCACCTGTTGTAGATGTGTGTGATTTCCTACCTGGTGCGTCCCATGCCTCCCTGCGACCAGCCTTTCATTTCCGCCCCCTGGTAAATGGGACCGCCCTGCGGGTGCTGTTGCATCATGGGGTTCTGAGGCCCCAGGCGGCCGGGCATCATGGCGTTAGGAGGACTGCCGCCTGCTGGGCCGAACGAGGGGTCTCCCTGCTGGCCCATCCCTGTGGAGAGAAATCATCCAGCATCAGCTCAGTCCTCTATTTACAGGAAATACATAACTGAAGGAATAACCAACCATCAATATGCACTATTTTACAATTTGTTCAATGTTGTTAGTATGGAACTTACACAGGGTACATAGTACTAACATGGAAACTATTATCCTGGAGATGAAAGACTACAATCTAATCATTCAAGTAAAAATAATGGTATCATGAATCCACAGGTGTCTATTTGACCTTCTCTCCCTTTTTAATTTAAATCATTTCAATATTTTATACACAGTTATTGACTGATATTGATCAATTGTATGTTTAGTAATAGATTCAAGACCTAAATCTCAATTGAAATGTGTTAAAAAAATATATATAAAGATGGTAAATCAAGATAGATAGCGATCCTTTTGCCTTATAATGTGTTCTGATACTTATTATCCCTTTAATAACAATGTTTGGCCTGACTATAAAAAAACGGAGCGAGGGATGGTATTTTTTCAACATAAATCTTCCAATCCTCCAATCTAATGACAAATGTGAAGAAGACCCCTGCAGTGCACTGACTCTCCACCAGGGAGCAGCAGTAATCAGTGATGCACCAGCCTCAGTAAACTCACCATAGCTCGCCCCGTAGCCGAACTGCTGCGGCCCCGGCTGGCCCATGGTCGGCCCCCCCATCGGGCTCTCCATGCCCCCAGGAGCCGTGACGTTTGGAGGAGGACTGAACCCCCCCGCGGCGGCTGCGGCGGCGGCGGCCTGCTGCTGCTGCATCAGCATCATCATCCGCTGCCTCCTCATCTGCATGGTGACCATCTCCCTGCTGCGCTGAGCCATCATCTGAGCGTTGATGAAGCCCGGCTGCACGAAACACATAATCAGAGAAGTTGAGGAGGGTTTGCATGTGGTATAGATATATTTGGAGCGTTAATAAAGTGTGTATGCTATAAAATATGCAGCGTGTAATGTAAAAAGTAGGTGAGTGATAAGGTCTCTTGGACAAACATGTTAATTTGGATGAAAGGTGGATAAGAAAGGCTTATGTTTTAAATTCCATTAGACTACAACAGTCAAATATGTTCCAACTGTTGCATCACTTGAATGTTTCTTAAAGAAAAGGAAAATACAAACATAAAAGTAATATTTTACAGACTGTAACAACTCTAACAAATTTAATTCAACAGAGCAGCATCGCAGCTGAACACTCCAGCACCCGTCTGTCTTTTGGCAATATACTAGACATGATAAATATATAAGGAATGTTGGGGCCATAAAACCTTCAAACTACTGGCAATTTTAATCTCTCTGGACATAAGTAAATCTAAAAAAATAAGACTCCTAAAAAGCCACAGCAGGTGATGTATTCCAGCTCTAGCTGAAGAAGCCAAAGGATCTGTCGAGTCAGTCAGTATGTTGAACAGATTTAATGAAAGGATCAGTACCACATTCTGATCAAGCACACCATATATAGGGGTTTTAAGTGTGAACTACTATTAGTGTCAAACTTGACCCTGATGACGAAATTAATTAAACCATAATCTTTGATATGATCATCTCATATTTCAAAATCAGTATTTCAGTTATTCGTCCTTAATATAAAGTATATTTACGTCATCTACCTGTCCTCCCATGCCAGGCTGCATGCCTGGCCTCATGCCAGGGTTTCCTCCTGGGTTCTCCATCTTCATGCCCATGCCCTGCCGCGTCTGATTCATGAACTGAGGAGAAAAAACCCATTAAAGACAAGATGGAGGAGCAAATGATTCTCTGACCCTGACCCACTTGTATATATACTTACTATATATTTGCAGAAAATGTATATATACTGTGTACTTCCGGCGCAGACTGAAAACTCATCTCTTTCGACTCTAATTGGAGCGATAGAATTACTAACAAAGCACTTATATACTAATAAAGGACTGGCTTATCTATAGCCAGTTGAGTAGCACTTGAAATGTTTTGGCTCTATGAAACCTGATGTACTTATATGATTCTGTTTTCTTCAAGGTTGTATCTTCCTGGTCGAATGTACTTATTGTAAGTCGCTTTGGATAAAAGCGTCAGCTAAATGCAATGTAATGTATGCTGAAATGAACGGTGCAACTTGATGATGGTGATTAATTGCATTAGTTTGGGTCTTGTTAAAACTGAATTGTTTGCATGTAAACCGAGCCTCCTGTACCTGCTGGCCCTGCAGCCTCTGCTGCAGCTGCAGCCTCATGGGCTTGTTGGCAGTCATCATCCTGGGTCTCATCATGTTGGCACGAGGGTGACCCATGCCGCCCATCCCACCCATTCCAGGGAAGCTTCCACCTTGGCCCATCTGAGACAGCATGGGCCCGAACGCCCCCTGCTGGGCCTGGCCCTGCATGGGGTTCCCTCCATAGCCAGACTGCATGGGCATGGTGGGGGGTCCGGGGTAGCCCTGTCCATAGTGGGGCTTCTGATCTAGCACCATGGACGGGTCCTGCCCTGGAAAAGACTCCAGCTGCTGCTCACTTCCCTGGTTCTGGAGCAGACAAGACAAAATAAGAACTTTGTCAAACCTCTCCATCTAATTGATTAATTTCCAATTGGTTGGCTCTGTAATTGTCTTTTTCTAAGCAGCACAGACAGATCCCGCTGGGCTCATCTATCTTCCTTCAGAGAGAGTCTGAACACGGCGAGTCATGACTGAAATATCTAATGCAAAGATGAACGTTAGGCTCACTTATGAGTCATGGCATGCAGACGGATCGTTTCTATGTTCAATTAGCTTCTAGAAAGATCTAGAATGCACGAGGATGAAAGCGTGGTAAAAGGAATACTTAACACATTATATCAAAACATGTATTAATAAGATCCCTCACAACTTGTGCAGTAGAATCAAAGTTTCGCTTTCCCAGGCGTACTGTATGCTCAATACTTCCCGAACACATGGGTAAAACTGTTAATGCACAAGTGTTTTAAATAGTAAGGTTTTATCAAAAATGCACGTGCTTGGGAAGTGGTGAGCATAACATTGATATGATTTATACTGCATGTGCTGTTTTAAACAGACGCCCCTCATATACTTTATTTTATCAATTACATTTTCAGATTTTCATTCAGCAGCGAGGCATACGAGAAGACCAAGTCTTGAAGGTTACACAGAGCGAGTAATTGACATTTTTCAATCCATATTTGTACATTTTTTCTGCAGACCCACCTGGCTGACGAGGTCCGGGATACCCAGCGCTCGGTCGATCTCCTCCAGAGCGATGCCGTCCGTGTTGTTGAGCAGAGAGTCCAGCTGGTCCAGAAGCGCCCGCTCGTCGCTCTGACCCTCACTGGTGGTGGGAGGCACCAGGAGATCATCTAAGGCGTTTCCAAACTGTCGATGTTGCACTGGCCTGGTACCGTCCATGCTCATTATGGCGTCGGGCCAGGAGGGGGACTGGTTGGGCTGGCCCTGCTGACTGAAGGGGCTCATCCCCATGTCGGCAGAGCTTCCTACACCACGGAGACATTACATATTTGATTTATTCACATACAGGTAGACAGCGGCTACAGGTTATGCAGGTTGGGTGTGATGAACAGGGAAGTGTAGTATGTATTCGTCCACATATAGTTAAGGTCTCCTCATTATAGAATAACTTCTAAAAAACCTCAGATTGCCTCACAATTTAGTACAGAAATGTACTTCAGGGTGTACTGTAATATGGTCACTTTGGTAATCCCTAAACTTCATCTAATGGTATTATAAGATCTACATTTGTATTAGATTTTTGTAAAAATGCCTCTAAAAACTGAGCTATAAGCTTCCACTGTACCTGTTTTTTGGTACATATTAAATAACTGTGTCTCGGATCATTTCTCCAGCCCCAATAGAGTATTAGAGACGTACCCATATCCATCAGCTGTTGCTGCAGCATGGACCTGGTGCCCGGTACGCTGTTGGAGCGGCCGATCATGGGTCCTGACATCATGCCCCTGCTGTTGCTGTACTCCATGCCGGGACGCATCATGGAGGGGTGTCCTGCTGAACCCACAGGGCTGACACCTGAGCGGGACATGCCCCAGTCCGCTGACCCCCCCATGGGCGACCGCTGGGGAACCATGCCCCTGTTCATTGGTCCTGTTGATACATAAACACCATGATATTCATGAGTCAGTATCATAAAAATGTTAGAGGAGATCTGTTCGGCACATTCATGGTCCTCAAAAAGGACGGCTAACCTCCAATAAAACAAACAAACATTCACGTCTCTTGTTTTTAGCGTTATTTATACATTTAGATTGTTTTGGTGTGCGAGTGTTGGAGGTATTGACCGTAGATGTGCCTGCCTTATCTCTCATACGATATAACAAAATTCATACTGCTTAGAGAACCATATTTTGGATTTGTGAACCTTCCCTTTAAATCGGTGTCTGTAAGATAAGTATATAAGTTATCCAATAATACAATATGAATTCAAAGAAAGTGAAGTCCCTAACTAGAGAGCGGTGAGAGAAATTGTGCTGACATTGATATTGTGCCACTGAAACACTCACCCATGTTTCCTGGGTAGCCGTCCGGGCTGCCCATCATGTTCTCCTGCTTGATGAGCATGGGGCGTCTTCCTGCTCCCACAGGCCCGGCAGGAGGCTTCCCATCCATGGACATGGCCCTCTGGAAGGGACCCCGAGGCCCCGGGCCCATTCCGGCATTTCCTGTGCACAAAAAGTATAAACTAATTGATCAGAAATACGGAGAATAATATTGGTGTTGCACAAAATTAGGAATGGTTGAATCCGGGGAGACCGGAATTTATTTCTGAATCTTTAAAAAATTGTGTATGACTAATTGATGGATTTATGGACGTTTTTTTAGCATACATATACAAATAAAAGAAAATAAATATACTTTCAAATTCAAATTACTTCATAGGATATATTACTGCTATGATAATGACATAGAAACACATTTGCTATCTAAGCATTGAATTTCCATTCAAATATTAGATTCTCTATATTTAATGAAAAACACGTTTATTTTCTCCTTCAAATAAAAGCCTGGGGGAAAGGGCCAATACAGGGAAGCTTGTATGTTTCTACCAGAGAAGAAGCTCTAGGAGTAAAAAGAGAATTCAGCATGTGATGATGCCAGATGTAGTTTACTGGCATTTTATATTGACTCCGGCTCTGCGTCAAAATGTCACTTCCTGTAAGCTTTGATCCTTTAACCACTTACCCTGCAGGCTGTCGTCAAGGCAACCCTGGGGTTTGCTTCCTGTGTCGTTCGCCCCTCCACCTCCGCTCTGATCCGGGTAAAAGTCAGAGCTTGAACCCCTCAAATCTCCGAGGATAGACTCCAGGTTATGCAACTGGATATAAAAATAGAGCAAATGAGTTATTACGTAAAAGTATTTGAAGATCAAAGGCAGTGGGTCAATGAGCTCTATGTATGGCCAGCTAAATGTGAAATTAAAGTATGATTTTGCACTTATTTAATCATTTCATAACAAAAAAGCGATCATACATCATCCGGTGGTTCTGACTTGATCTTGCTCTCAGGATGTTCGGGTGCAGGTCCAGGTCCGCCCCGTGCGGGACCGCCAGCGGCCCCCGGGGCTCCCTTCACATCGAGATCCTCCAGTTTGGGCTTGACATCCACTGGCTCTTTGGAGTCATCCTTGTTGAGAAGGTAGTGGAGGAGGGCGTGGGTCTTCTCCTTCTTGGGGCTATGCTGCTCCTGCTTGGGCTCCGTGACCATCCCCGGCCCGGCCCCTGCCCCTCCTCCTGCCTCGCCGCCCTCCTGGCCCCCGAGCGTCACCTTCCCCGTGGCCTCGGCTGTGATCTTAGCTACGTCATCTGGAGTGTTTCCATTTTGAAGAAGCTTGTGGAGGATCTTGTGCTTTTCTTGCAGGGAGCCAGTGTAGTGCGCTGAGGAAAGGGATGCTGCCAAAGCCCCTGGCCCGGTCGCCTGGCCCGGATTGGCACCGGTTGATGAAGAGGAGACTCCAGTCGAGGAGGGGCTCGTCATGCCTCCAGTGGGGTCTTTACTGTCTGAGCCTGCAGGAGTGCTGCTGCCGGCTGGTGGAGGAGGTACAGGCGGCCCTGATGACCCGCTGCCACCTATCCCCAGCTCCTCGGTCGGAGAGGTCAGCAGCTGCAGCAGCTTCTTATGCCCCTTACTGTCCGGCAACCTCCGAGAGGGTTCAGAGCTCGCCGCCCCCGCATCGTTGCTTCCCTCTGCGGACTCTTTAGTCGCTGTAGCTGCCTGGTTGTCGGGTCGGTCTGCAGAACTCTCAGCCTGAGGATGCTGATGAGGGTGGTGATGGTGCATGGGGTGGTGATGGTCGCCGGGCCCCAAGCCTCCCGCTGGGCTTTTGGAGCCGTCTGGGCCCGGTTTGGGCGGCTGGCTGGGCTGAGAGGAAGAGTGGATGCTGGGCGAGCTGTCTGGTTTGTGGGCTGGCGAGTGGGACGTTAGGGTGGAGGGGAGGGAGCTGCCGACTCCTTCACTGATCGCTTGTAGGGCGTTTAAGGAGCTGCTGGAGAAGGTGGTGGTGCTTCCTCCACTTCCTCCACTTCCTCCACCACTGACGATGCCGCTCATGGGAGAGTGCATACCTGGAAAAGAAAACATAAGTCAAAATGAAAAAACAAGCCAATATATTAATAAATAACTGATGCTAATCAACCACACACTGACTGGCTTACCTCCAGGTGAGAACTGATTCGCGCCCATCTTTGGGCTCCCTCTGTTGCGGGGGGACATCAGAAGACCCGGCTGGGGGCCACCCATTCTGGGGCTTCCTGAAGGGCTGTTCATGCCGCTTAGCCCGAACCCCCCGCTGCTCTGAAACGGGGGCTGCTGTGGGTGCTGCTGCATGCCTTGGCCCGGGTGATTCATGGGACCCATCTGATTCATCTGATTCATGTGCCCCCCCTGATTCATCTGCCCCATGTGATTCATCTGCATCATGCGGCTGCCCATGCCTCCACCTCCACTCCCTCCTCCGCCACCGCTGCCTCCGTACATAGAGCTGCCTCCCATCGGACCCATGTGACCCATGTGGCCCTGCTCGTTCATGCCGAAGCCCCTGCTCATGCCCATCCCCCCACCGGTGTTCATGTTCATTTGGGCATTGGGGTTTGGGCCTACCATGCCCTGTGGTCTCATGGTGTTCGGCATCATGTTTCCCCCCTGAGCTGAGCGGTAGCCGTTGGGTTCCCTGAACAAAAGGAGAAAACAAACATTTGAAAGTCACAAACAATTATAAGGTAACAGTGGTGAGAATGAAGTCAAGTCGAGTCATGGAAAATTCAAAGTCAATGCTGAACGTCCTATTTAAAAAATGACTGTTTTTTATCTACAAAGCAATTACTTACATAATTTAAAGTGATATAAATAAAACGCAATGGAAATTAGGTTTTTATTAAATAAAAGGTTAACATATATTCATTGATTGGATCATATCCCATGCATTCGATTCATAAATAAACAAAAAATAGAAAAATGTAAGCCATAAATACCAAATCTTGATCTCATAATGCCTCTAGAAGAAGTTTAGGGATGACCAAAGTTACTATATTACACCCTCAGGGACATTTCTTTACTAAATTGTACGGCAATCAGAGGTTTTGAGACTTTGAATTGCTCCCAATCAGGGAGTTAGCTGGCATAAATGTGGGGACGATCTTAAAAGTAAAGAAAAACATGTAAGTGTCAACCAAGTCAAATGGGTCTCCAGGGTGACGTCAAGTCATGTTAATCGAGTCCCCTACCCCTGCGTTTGTCTCTATAAATGATCAGTTCCTGGGTTGTGTTTTCTCAGTGATCATAAGATGTCAGAAGAGCAACTTCAGCTGCTATTTCTGTGGCATGAAAGCTTGCATGGACGTGCTGGAAGGGGTCTAGACAGTCAATTAAACACCCTTTGCTGTGTCTGAAAGAAGTGTTTGTATGTTCAGTTTCTGACCTCTGTAGAAGGTGTGTGGAGATGAATCCCTGTGGCTCGTTGCTCATTGGGTGCCGGTACAGTTTGCTCTTGGTCTGGGCTGTGACTGGAGTGCCGTCGGACAGGGAGAAGCGGTACAAGGGAGTCTCAGCGTGACCCTGCAGGAAGGCTGCACGGACGGATAAAAAACGACAAATGAACAGCCTGATAACAGAGGTCATCAATCACTGCCTTTATGTTGAAACCAACCCTGTGATTACAGCAGGGATCAATGTGGTAGCTCTCAGACATTTGTATTCATGAGATCAATATTGATACACTGATGTATGAGGAGTGTGTGTGTTTCAGGGTTTCTTCCTGAAGAGAGGCCTGGCCAAGATAGGGAGCAACAACAAATAAAAGACAAACAATTATCATTAAAGGTGGGGTATGTAAGTTTGAGAAACCGGCTCGAGTGCGCTAGAATTTGAAAATACACGACCGGAGAAAATCTCCCACTTCCTTACAGAGCCCCTCCTCCAACACACACGAACGGGCACATGACCAATGAGGGCACGAGATAAGTTTGTGCACAGATGGAAGGCTGACAGGCAGGTAGGCCATCCAGTTATTTTAGCCGGGCCGGCTCAGATGATTGGTCGTGCTTTTTACAGTACTACGGCTTCCACAGATGACATTTTTTAATGGATTTTTTGTCAAAGCACTTAAGATATTTATTGCTATCGGGATGTTAAGAGCATTCCATGGAATATAACAAAAAGTGTATCTCGAGCCGGTTTCTCAAACTTACCTACCCCACCTTTAACTACAGCCTTGTAAGAGAGAAGATGAAATACTAACTAAGCAAACAGTTAATTCAATACAGGGAAATCCTGATGAGGTCTTTCATTATGGATTTAAAATCGATTTACATGATGAATTATTTAAGTGTGTGTGTGTGTGTGTGTGTGTGTGTGTGTGTGTGTGTGTGTGTGTGTGTGTGTGTGTGTGTGTGTGTGTGTGTGTGTGTGACGCACCCTCATGGTAGTGGCGTTTGTGCGACCAGGGCTGCCCGTCACTGTGCTGCAGGAACATCTGAATGCAACGCCTCAACAAATCCTCCCAGCCCGGACGCATCGACGCCCGCAGAGAGTTCTGGTCGATCTGGATCAGTTTACCTGCCAGGGAGGACAGAAGGAGGACGAGCGGGGAGGGAAGCAAGCGGGGAGGGAAGCAAACAAGGAGACGCATGAGGAGATGAGTCAAACCTGTTCATGGAGAAAAAACTATACAGCCTGTTTGTGCGTTTTGTGCTTGTTCACTGAGCAGCTCCTCACCTGAGAGCTCATGCCGAGTGTTGAAGCTCTCCGTTCTCTCCATGGCTGTCACCCGACGGGCCACACAGATCATACATGACTGCAGGTCTGCAAAGGAGAGGAGAGTCAGTAATGATTCACGATCGATGCATGTGCTTAAGGCTCTTTTTCTTGTAACAACTTTCCTTGACTCTGCTCCTTTAGATCTCTACTGCGATAAATGAGGCAACATTTTTATTTATGAAGCATTTTTGCACCTTTAAACAAACCCAGGTTTTTCCAAACATGTGTAAACAAGATTTTGTTGTCCCATGACCAAATAGGGCTGCTCAATTAATCGTATTTTAATTACGATTATGGCTGGCAACGATTACGAAAACAACATAATCGAAATAAAACGATTATTTTTGTATTATTACTTTTTTTTTTTTTTTTTTTTAAATAATCTTTTTTTTTTGGGGGTTTTATGTTGAATTATACTTAAAGTTCAGGGTAATCAAATGTTAAAAGCATACTGTTCAAAAAAAAAATTTCTCCAATAAATGGATGTTTTCAAAGTCAATGAATAATCGCATTTAATAATCACAATTACAGTTATTGACCAAAATAATCGAGATTGTGATTTTTGCCATAATCGAGCAGCCCTAGTTGGTCCCATGTGAGGGTTCCACTTAGCCAGCTTGCACAGTGCAAGGGCTTTGCAACTCGAAAAACTAAATGGAATGTGGCCATTATGTTAATTACACCTGTGCTTTCCCTGCAGTGACCCGTCTAATGATCTGCTGTGAACAAGGTCATTACACCAGTCCTGAGTCCAGTGCTGTGTTTTTCCCAATTCAAC